GCCTCTCGAACTATATAGAACAGAGGTACATTTTATTTGCATGTTAGTACACCATATTGATGCTGGATCATATATTAACTTAATTCCGATATTTTAAATAATGAAACACAGGCGCATTTTAATTTGCAAAATTTCGTCCGCCATGCTCTGTACAGAGCGTATGTGTGATGGAAAAGCGTTAGCCGAAAACCGCATAACGATGCGCTGATTCGTTCGTTCTGTACAGTGCTCGCCCTCGAAGTGACTGCTGCGCCTGGCTGAAGAGGCCTTCCTGAGGCATCTTCTCTCAGCCGTGAGCTTAGCTCAGTTGGAAAGAGCGTTGGTATAAGGAGCAGAAGACCGGCAGGTAGTGGATCGAATCCCGCTCGTTTTTTTTTGTGCTACTCTGCCGGACATATTTCGGGCAGTCCGGAGCACGGACTAGTCCGAAAGGCGCCCGGTCAGCGCGCTTCGGACTGCACCGGAATCTTGCTGATTTTACTCCTTTTCGGTACTAATTTCGGCAAGTCCGGGATGTGGTTTCGGACTGTACCGCGGGCGACATTCGGACTGCCCGATCTTCGGACTCCTTTCGGTATAAAACGGTTCTATAAGGGATTAGTCTAAAATAAAACAGTTCTGTCGCGTCAAAGCGCACTTAATAATGCATGGGACGACACGATGTGACATACGAAAACCGGGAAGTGCCGGCAATAGCTTGGTAATTAAACTTTAGTTTGTTACCTAAAATGTCTTGTGGGCAAGCTGAAGATTATCGCACAGCGTATCGACACCTGAGTTACATCCCTATATAAATTCCACACCGAACCGCATATAGCCGCTCCCGGGATTATGCCCACGGCGGCCCAGGGGGGTATAAAGTGTCAATTTCCCTCAATGACCAAACCAATTACCCAACTTCGAACCCTTAGAGAGGGGTTGAAGGTCAGACAATGAGTCAGAATGGACTGTGCCGCAAGCTTGGGATATCTTAAAGTACTTTATTCCAGGTATACTTGTTCAATCCCAGTTTTGCACTCCACCCTAGCGGCCAGCCGCCCGGACTAGCGCGACTGCGGCGGTGCAATTGGGGTTCCAACCCCCCCTCCCCCCTCGACCCTTGTGTCTGCTGACACTTTTCTCAGGCAACCAGGGCACGTTCGCAGAGAAATGCTTTACGCAAATGGGGCACTGAAAGCAAACTCTATCATTCGGCACAGTATTGACACCTGGTGCTTTACTGATGTCATCATGATGTATTACGAACTAGAAAATTAAGGACACACGATCCCAACAACATTTCACGTTGACAAAGGGCCCTAGTTGTCGGAATAAGCCCGTATGAAGGTAGCACACACTCAAAATAAAGTAAGTGTCGACTACTGGAACAGATGTCTTTTTCTGGCCCAGTAGTCGACACCGCCATTATTTACGCCCCCGACCGAAATTTTCGGAAACCTAAATGGGGAAAGATAATACATATCTTTGACAACAACACAAACGTCCTCCGGAACCACTCGGGTGAATGGCAGCCTCACAGAACCTACCGAGCAAACACGTGCCCACTACTCCGGAGCTAAGAAATTATGGCTCGATGTGACGCGACGAGCAGTGTTCTGTGCGAAGCGCTCCCTACCGGCTCTCGGAGGTGGCACAGAATCGGCAATGGGTTCATCGTAATCTCAATAGAGTGCGCCTAAGCCGAGATGATCACCTTACGTCCAAGCAATTTTGCTCCAAGGTGGTAATTTTGATCCAAAATGATGCAAATTAGGCACATTTCTGATCCAAGCAATTTTGTTCCAAAGAGCAATTTACTTCCAAGATTTTGACGTGTTTTTGTTCCAAGCAATTTTGTTCCATAGAGCAATTTTGTTCCAAGGAGCAATTTTGTTCCAAGGAGCAATTTTGTTCCAAGCATTTCTGTCCCAACCGGAATAGGTGTTGCGACTACACGGCAGTGGCATTTTGGCTCTAGCAGGTACTGTAGATTATGACTGTATTAATTACTTCCGACGGTTTGGACGCCTTTGCAAGGGCTTTAAACACGTTCTGTCGACTGTGTCCATTTGTATATCATGACTATATGCAGTCCATAGGGAGGTGCATCAAGGAATAACAACACATAGTATCTTTATATTCCAATTTATTCAATACACATACAACGGAAACCTGTTCAAATACTCGTAAAATACTACCCTGCCTATACGACAAGCATGAACTTTTCGTCTCCATATGCATCTATTCCATCCATAGTTAAAAGAAGGCACGTAACACAACAAATAGAATTTTCATATTCCAATTTATTCAATACAAATACCTCCAAAACGTGTACAAATACTATAGGTAAAATGCTATCCTGCCTATGTGACAGTTGTAAGTTATTCGTGGGTGTTTGTTGTTGACAAAATATGACATATGACAAAATCTGATGTGCAGATATCTGGCTTTTGGGCCAAAGTATAGCAATAACAGGGGCCTATAGATTGGCACTTATCGGGGAAAACAAAAAGTGGGCGATCACCAGCATATGTCGGAGTCGAAAGTGATCACTGCCTTCACAGAGTATTCATGATATGCGGGTTCGTACTTATATGTGGTTAATGGCCCTGCGTAGCGTGGCCTAAGAACGTGAGATTGTGCGAAACGGACAAGGACAAGGACGAGTTTTCGAGCTGTTGCCATGATCATCAACTAAGGCACCGAGGTGGAGAAATTGGTTGCGCCCCGGTCGGGATCGAACCCGTGCCAGACCCGGCTTACTTTCCAGCCGCCAGGCACGCAGACAACTGAGCTACCAAGACCGCAGATATCGATCTCGTACGGTCCACAAGCAAAGGGCCCTACCGCATCGCGGGACCACAAGTCGTTGTGAGGTTGGTCTGCCGAGGTCATTTTGTGACGGTCCCCTGGCCGCTTGTTAGGTCTAATCAGGTCAAAAACTTAGGGGTGTACCTGTCGAGGTACACAGAACCTGCTGCCGGAAAGCCAAAAAAAAAAAAAAAAAACAAAAAAAAAAACACGCCAATTATTTACCCCTTCAAACCACCCCTAAATGGACACATTGTAAATTTCTCATTTAAGGACGGTCCTTGGGTTCGAAAATAACGCTCTTGGTCTCTATGGGTCGCGGATAACCTTACTTAACATCTTGTAACGCCAGATAGCATAGCTATTCCCACACTCTCTGCCGATCGTCAGCCCCATCTGCGCAACCACCCCTACATCCTAACTCTAGGTGTCTCACACAAATCGTTTTTTGTTCTTTTTGAGAAATTTCAGGTTGTTATACTCAAATTGACAGTTGTTGATGTCTGAAACGGAGACATATCGAAATCGTAATGAAAATTTACTTAATTTCCTCAGATGTCTCACCCTTATTGACTGTTTTTGCAGTTATGCCCCTCGTAAGGCCCCAGGGGCGCAGGGGCGCCCGAGGGATTGCATGGCCATCGCTGGCGTCAGGGACAGTCTGCGAAGTCATCCTGAATCAAGTGCGTTGCACATAAAAGTGCAGAATCCAACCCAAGTCAATCAGAAGTAGCGATACCTCATCATCAAAAAAAACAACCCCATCTTTGAGGGGTTGTACGGGGTGAAAGCGGGAGATAGCTGACCTTAGCCCCCCGGCATAAGGAGCGCATTTCCATCCTCTTTCAGGGTGCAAATTACCAGAGACCTCCTCCCATCGCTCCA